TAAACTGTGTGAAAAACATATCCAAAGTGACACACATTGAGTACAAACATATTCCCTTGAAACTGAACCCAGATCCGTGGTGTTACTGTGTCATGCTCTACTATTGCAGCTCCTGGAAGCCTTATGATTATAATACTTTCTGATGCAACAGTCTTTCTCATGAAAAGTACATTAAAGTGAATGCAATAATAATAATAGCAATAATAATAATAATAATAATAATAATAATAATAATAATAATAATAATAATAGCAATAATAATAATAATATTAATAATAACAACAACAGTAATAATAATAATAATAATAGCAATAATAATAATTATGATAATAGCAATAATAACAATATTAATAAAAATAACAAAAATATAAATAATAATAACAATAGAAATAATAACAACAACAATAATAATAATAACAATAATAGCAATAATAATATTATAAATACTAATAATAACACCACCACCACCAACAACAACAAACAACAACAACAACAACAACAACAACAACAATAATAAAAAAGCAATAATAATAAAAATAATAGCTAATAATAGTAATAATAATAATAAAAACAACAACAACAATAATAGTAATAATAATAATAATAATAGCAATAATAATAATAATAATAACTAGAAGAAGAAGAAGAAGAAAAAGAAGAAGGTGATATTTGTGTCAGAAGTGCCTCCTCCAGATCTGGGTGCAGTGTGTTCTTCTCTGCTGGTGTGTTAGATCAGTGCATTAGCAGAACAATTACTGTAACTGCATTTCTAATGGATTTCCTCTTGGTTTCTGAGGTCTAGCTGAGTATGTGGTAGTTCTGAGTGTTGTGTGAACTAAAGCACTTTATTGTGAGTCGATTTGATAAGAACACTTATGTAAATGCAGTTATTCTGATAGGGCTTGAACAGCACTGATCTGACTGCAATTTATTCATCTCTGCAATTCTTTCAACGCTGATTAACACATACTCACCGGCCACTTTATTAGGTACACCTGTCCGACTGCTTGTTAACGCAAATTTCTAATCAGCCAATCACATGTCAGCAACTCAATGCATTTAGAAATGTAGGAATGGTCAAGATTAGAGATCTGCGTGGGACTAAATTTTAAATCCCGCTCCCGCCCGCACCCGCCAGGTTTTAGCCCGAACCCGACCGCTCCCGCTTATATTAAGAATTTGTAGTCCCGCTGCCCGACCCGCCCCGTTTTCTACCCGCCGCGCCCGATCCCGCTAAAGAGCGGGGGAGAACAAAACCGAAAATCACCAAGCTATACAGTCCAGATATAAACACACTCACACACACAGCACCAAGCACACACACAGACAAAGCTCTCTCTCTCTCATACGCGCGCACTAACACACACACAAACACACACACATAAGCACCAAGCACACACACAGGCAAAGCTCTCTCTCTCTCTCTCTCTCTCTCTCTCTCTCTCTTTCGCATAGCAATATCCGCGATATTGCTAGACAGCCCGCTCCCGTCCCAAATTAAACCTGTTACCGACCGCTCCCGCGATTTATTCGGAAATTTATGCAGACCTCTAGTCAAGATGATCTGCAGCAGTTCAAATTGAGCATCAGAATGGGCAAGAACATTGATTTAAGTGACTTTGAACATGGCATGGCTGCAAGACGGGCTGGTCTGAGTATTTCAGAAACTGCTGATCTACTGGGATTTTCACGCACAACCATCTCTAGGGTTTACAGAGAATGATCTGAAAAAGAGGAAATATCCAGTGAGCGGCAGTTCTGTGGACGCAAATTCCTTGTTGATGCCAGAGGTCAGAGAAAAATGGCCAGACTGGTTCCATCTGACAACAGTAACTCAAATAAGCACTCGTTACAACCGAGATATGCAGAAGAGCATTTCTGAACAGACAACATTTCCAATCTTGAGGCGGATGGGCTACAGCAGCAGATAACCACACCGGGTGCCGATCCTGTCAGCTAAGAACAGGAAACTGAGGCTACAATTCACACAGGCTCACCAAAACTGGACAATAGAAGATTGGACAAACGTTGCCTGCTCTGATGAGTCTCACTTTCTGCTGCCACATTCAGATGATCGTGTCAGAATTTGGCATCAACAGCATGAAAGCATGAGTCCATTCTGTCTTTTATCAACGGTTCAGGCTGGTGGTGGTGGTGTAAGGGTGTGGAGGATATTTTCTTGGCACACTTCGGGCCCATTAGTTCCAACTGAGCATGGTGTCAACGCCACAGCCTGCATGAGTATTGTTGCTGACCATGTCCCTCCCTTTATGACCACAGCCACTCCATCTTCTGATGGCTACTTCCAGCAGGATAATGCACCATGTCATAAAGCGTGACTCATCTCAGACTGGTTTCTTGAACATGACAATGAGTTCACTGTACTCAAATGGCCTCTACAGTCACCAGATCTCAATCCATTTGCATCATGCATGTGCAGCAAAAAAAATCTCTAAGGAAATTTTCCAGTACCTTGTTGAATCTACACCACGGAGGATTACAGCAGTTCTGAAGGCAAAAGGGGGTCCAACCCGATACTAGTAAGGTGTACCTAATAAAGTGGCCGGTGAGTGTATTTTGTACAGTACAAAAGTCAAATAGATGTACATGTGTGTGTGTGTGTGTGCATGTGTGTGGGTGCATTTTTACTGTAACTGTGAGCTATGTGTGTGTTTGTGTACATGTTTTGGTGACATATCAGGACACAAATCAGTATAATGACATAGGTATGACACAGGGGATGTCCTCATTTTTCTTAAAGCTTATAAATCACAAAGAATGAGTTTTTTTTTTTAAGAACGTAAACCTGCACAGTTTCCTGTGAGGGTCTGGGTTTAGAGGTAGGGTGGGATTAGGGCAGGGGTGGGCAGTCCTGGAAGGCTAGTGTCCTGCACAGTTTAGCTCCAACTCTACTCAAACACACCTGCTTATAGATTTCTACACATCATGAAGATACTAATTAGATTGTGTGTTTTAGACTGTGTGTATAGATGTGTTTGATTAGTGTTGGAGCTAAACTATGCAGGATATCGGCCCTCCAGGATCAAGTTTGCCCACCCCTGGGTTAGGGCAATGCAAAATACAGTTTGTATTGTAAAAACAGTGGAAACTTCTGTAATGTCCCCACAATTCACAAAAACAAGCATGCGTGTGTGTTTGCTGTACCTGTGAGGTATGTGTTGTGGGATGAGTTGATGAAGTACTGAGACAGAGGGTATGTCATGTCTTCACTCTGGTCCAGTTTTTCTGGAGGGATGACGCTGTTGTCTTCGCTGATCAGGTATCTGGAGAAGCCCTCCACTGAGATCTGCCCTGTGACACAAACCACACACATACAAACAGGAAAAACACCTTCGGTCACCACACTTTCAGACTTTTCAGAACTAATTTTGCTCACATAATGTGTTCAAGTCAGTTTGATTTTTGTGAATATATGATTTTGGAAGATGTGTGTTTGTATTGTTTATGTGGATGTGCGCTGTGTTTGGAAAGACGCTCTATAAATACAAATACTTCTTTATTTTTCATCTTCTTTTTTTATTTATTTTTTAATTTTATTTATTTTATTTATTCTTGGCGAGGCAGTGGCGCAGTGGGTAGCACGTTCGCCTCACAGCAAGAAGGTTGCTGGGTCGCTGGTTCTAACCTCGGCTCAGTTGGTGTTTCTGTGTGGAGTTTGCATGTTCTCCCTGCGTTCACGTGAGTTTCCTCCGGGTGCTCCGGTTTCCCCCACAGTCCAAAGACATGTGGTACAGGTGAATTGGGTAGGCTAAATTGTCTGTGGTGTATGAGTGTGTATGTGTGGATGTTTCCCAGAGATGGGTTGTGGCTGGAAGGGCATCCGCAGCGTAAAAACTTTCTGGATAAGTTGGCGGTTCATTTCGCTGTGGCCACCCCGGATTAATAAAGTCACTAAGCCGACAAGAAAATAAATGAATGAATGAATGTATATGCTTTCCTATAGATCTCCATCAGTACTCAGCGGTGTATATCTGCCCTCAGAACATTAGCACTTCTCTTTCTCTCTTTTGCACCCAAAGTAACAACTTGTCTGATGGAGTAAATTAGCGGTGAGGCTGCAAACAGACTTCAAATTAAAGCTGAAGATCAGTGTTACCTAAACAGCAGAGAAGCTGGATGGGAAGACACTCGGGATTCGCGTCCCCTGCCACTAATTCTCACCAGCAGTTTACATTAATTAAACTCCTTCTCCGCAGAGCTCTAGAGGTAATTAACCGTGGCCCTTTTTATGGTAGGAAAGGCTCCGCTGAAATGTTTCCAGTCATGCTTTCTGTCACTCTTTACGGCAAACAGCCTTTGATTTGCGCACCGAAATAAACACCAGCCACCTTGCTGTCGCGAAAAGGGGAGTCAAATGGCTTTTAAAGACTACAATTACCGCTTGCACTGCTGAAATTCACCAATTTTCCTGTCGAGTTAAATGGAGAATGAAAAAACGGGAATCAGATAAGATGGGGATTGTATCTGATTCCACAGTCCTGCTTTTTAAAGATTTAAAATAAACTTTTCTTGTCTCTAGAGCAGGGGTGAGCAAACTTATTGAATGGAGGGCCAAGAACCAAATATGATTGAGAGCTGTGGGCTGAAGATACAGTGGGGGGAAAAAGTATTGAACACACTGTAATGTTTTTTTCCTGGAAATAATATTTCTAAAGAACCAGGGGGGACCAAGTCAGAGCACTTACTCTGCGCTGGTTGGAAAAATTCCACAATGAACTAAAACAATCCATTACAATTGGCTAAAGATTGGCAATCAAAATTCGGGACATTGCAACCTGCAAAACCTGGGATGTTTAATAATGATAATAATAATAATAATAACAATAATAATAATAATAATAATAATAATAACAACAACAACAACAACAACAACAATAATAATAATAATAATTACAACAATAATAATAACAACAACAACAACAACAACAACAACAATAATAATAATAATAATTACAATAATAATAACAACAACAACAATA